GGTATATATTTGGAACCACAAAACGCAGCATTCACACCAGAATCAAAGAACATGAGAAACATGGCAGACTAAAACAACCAGAAAAATCTACAGTAGCTGAACATGCCCTAAAAGAAGCTGGACATGAAATTCTATTTCAAAATACTGAAGTACTGGACAACACCAGCAATAATTATGTTAGACTGCATAGGGAAGCCATTGAAATCCATAAGAATCAGCATAGCTTCAACAAAAAGAGGAAAGTCTGAAACTGAACAAGACCTGGCTTCCAGCATTGGAAAATACAGCCTGAAGAAGGTCAACAAACTCTCCCCAGCCACAAGGACCACGGATCATTGCACAAAAGAGACCAGCTAAAGACACCCATCAACCACAGTGACAGATAATCTCTCCCATTTATCACAACATCCACAACAAAAACACGCTGATCACCCTATCTCCTGAAAAGGACAAAAGCTGTTCCCACAGCTATAAATACTCAACTATCCAACAAACAGCAACAGACCATGGACAGAGTTCCTACTCCAGTCCTCTGAACATGCCGGCCACAGAGACTGGCAAAACATCAGGAAGAACAACCTTCAGAATATGGCCAAAGAGCCTGAAAAACCCACAACAACCAAAAATTCTTCTTGTTTTAATATTTGTCTTATTTTTTAAAAAAACTCACAATTAGTAAAAACAAACAAACCCAATCATCTCTTATATTTACCTTCATTGCATGTCATGTTAGAGGCTGCATTGAGATGTACTGTTTCACTGGAAATGTTACTTTATTTTCTGAATGTCTTTATTTTTTTCAATGTACAATAAAATTTCATTCAGTCTTCAAGATCTAACTGATTCAGCAGATTTTTTGTTTTAACCAAGGATATACACCATAAAATAAGGTTTTAAAAATAATTTATTTATAAAATAAAATCAGCACAATAGTAAAAAAAAGTTTATGTATAAGACCTAACCTGAAAATAAGCCCTAGTAAGATTTTTCAGGAGGCATGTAATATAAGCCCTACCCAAAAAATAAGCCCTAGTTAAGAGAAACCCTGCCCTCCACTATTGTGCAGCAACCAGAAGATGACATGACTATATTTGAATAAATGTGGATTGTTGTACATGAAAAAAATAAAACATCCCCCGAAAATAAGCCCTAATGCTTTTTTTAGAGCAAAAAATAATATAAGACCCTGTCTTATTTTCGGGGAAACACAGTAGGAACAGGAATACACACACGCAATGTCAAAAGGATGTAAAAATCTATATACAGTATATCACAGAGGTGAGAACACCCCCTCACATTTCATAAATATTTTAGTATATCTTTTCATGTGACAACACTGAAGAAATGACACCTGGCTACAATGTAAAACAGTGAGTATACAGCTTGTATAACAGTATAAATGTGCTGTCCCCTCAAAATAATGCAACACACAGCCATTAATGTCTAAACTGCTGGCAACAAAAATGAGTACACCCCTAAATGACAATGTCCAAATTGGGCACAAAGTGTCAATATATTGTGTGGCCACCATTATTTTTTAGTACTGCCTTAAGCCTCCTGAGCATAGAGTTCATCAGAGCTTCACAGGTTGCCACTGGAGTCCTCTTCCACTCCTCCATGGTGACATCACAGAGCTGGTGGATGTTAGAAACCTTGCGCACCTCCACCTTCCATTTCAGGATACCCCACAGATGCTCGCAAAGTGTCATTTCTTCAGTGTTGTCACATGAAAAGATAGACTAAAATATTTATGAAATGTAAGGGGGTGTACTCACTTCTGTGATATACTGTATCATACTCAATTTAACATCAGTTGCCTAGCTCTTATGAAACCCCAAACACACATTTCAACTACCCTTCTGATTTAAATTTTCATGCCATCCCATGCTGCACCTCAAATAATCATTTCTCACATAGTTTTCAAATGCCAAAAGCACAACCACAGATTGTTGTGGTTAAACACATAGCCTGCGGCATGTGGACAGATGACAGAGAGTACAAATATCCTGCCTAGATAGTCTAAAAGCTCTGCTTTTTTGCACAATCTTTCTACAAGAAACCTGATTTTTTTATACATACCTGCTGCATGAAAATTACGCCACTATTCTAAGCTTTTTTTAAAAAAAAATAGAATATTTTAAAGAATGATATTTTAAGAAATGCTCTACAATATCAACATATTTTTAGAAATGATAAAGCATTACCAGTCTTACACCATTAACATAAACATAAATGTTAAAGGCATATTTTATAAAGTACTCCAAGAGAAATCAGGAAGGAAGGAAGGAAGCAAGCAAGCAAGTAAGCAAGCAAGCAAGCAAGCAAGCAAGGTGATCTTTATACCTCAGAAGCCACTACTGATAAAATTGCAGAGAGATCTCAAATGCTGGCATTTTCAGACGCAAAAGCAATAAATGCTCAACCTTTCTAGCTAGCTACAGGTCAGGAAAACATAAAGGAAGCTAGCATTTCAAGCGGCTTTTCAATTCTTGATTTCTAAATGGCTTAAGCTGTTGAGATCCTTTACTTCTGTGTGGAGATCCATGTGAAAAAATTATATATGGACTGTACTGAAATTGTCTTACTTCACACAGAAGAAGAAAAAGAGCCCATAGTGTTTCAGATTTATTTATTCTAAAAATTACTGCCTTTCATTGTCTTTAGGTCCATCCAATAATTAATTCAAGAAGCCTCATATGACCTCCAGAAAGGGGGTGGGGGGGAGGGGAGAAAGTGTGATTTAGGTGAGCAAATTCAGTAGAGAAAAGTTTATTTTGAGTGTAATTTTTAAAGTAAAAATCATGAAATGGTAAAGCTGTACACAATGTATTATACTTCGAGATTAGTGGCACACTATATAATGGTGCTAGGGAAACTGAATGTAGTATAATTCCTATGGACTGTTTGATTCAACCTAACCATTGTGGAAATCTCAGGAACAGCCTCTACAGTGGTGCCTCGACTTACAACCATAATCCGTTCCAGAAAATGGTTGTAAGTTGAAACGGCTGTAAGTTGAATCAGCATTTCCCATTGAAATGCATTGAAACCTGTTTAATCTACAGTATTAAAGCTGATTTTGGTTGTATGTAGAGGCGCCGGTTGTAAATTGAAGCATTCGTTCCCATAGGAACTAATGCAAAAGCGGTTAATCCATCCTCTACCACTTGGGGGAGAATTTTTCTTCTTTTAACCTAAGATGACTTGGGTTTAAAAAAAGGGAAGGAAAGGAGGGAGGGGAAAATGGGGGAAAGAGGGGGAAAAGAAGGTCATTACTGGGGCACACAGACCCCTCAGACAAAGGTTTGTGCTGGTAAGCACAAAAAGAGAGAAGAGAGAAAGAAGACAATGGGGAGGGGGCAAGAGAGTTTGACATGAGTACTCTTCAGAACACCACAGTACACAAACCCTAGGAGCCACAGAATCCAGCAGCCATTATTCCAGCAAACAGAACCCCTCAGCACAAAAAGAGAGCAGAGAGCAGAGAGAGAGAGAGAGAGAGAGAGAGAGAGAGAGAGAGAGAGAGAGAGAGAGCCACAGAATGCAAAAATAAATAAATAAATTTTACATTTTAAAATTACAGTCTAATTTTCACATTAAATTTCAATTTAATATTATAGTCTAATTTTCATATTTTAAATCCACACTGCAAGACCCATCAGAGCACAGAAACATAACCCCCCGCCTAGCCCAAACCCAAGCTGCAAAAATACAGTGTACACACCCAGAACAGGCAGTCTCTCTGTTTTAAAAAAGAAAGCAAAAATCCAAAAAGAATTACAGTCTAATTTTCACATTAAATTTCAATTTAATATTATAGTCTAATTTTCATATTTTAAATCCACACTGCAAGACCCATCAGAGCACAGAAACATAACCCCCCGCCTAGCCCAAACCCAAGCTGCAAAAATACAGTGTACACACCCAGAACAGGCAGTCTCTCTGTTTTAAAAAAGAAAGCAAAAATCCAAAAAGCAACCAACCCCCCCAAGACCCATTGGAAATGGGGGAAAACAAACAAACAAAACATACAAACCTCCCAAGACCCATCACATCATAGAAACATAATCACACCACCCAGCTCAAAACCACGCTGTAAAAACACCCAGAACAGTTTTTAAAAAGCAGAAAACAGCACCTTACCTCCCTGCAAACACACACACACTCACTCCAAAGCAGAAGGAGGCAGTCCCAAGTTTCTGACGATGACAAACACTCTCTAATTGCCAGGGCAAAAGAGCTACAAAGAAGCAGTCTCGTCGCCACCTACAGTTAGAAATTTGAATTTCCCACCTTTTTCCCCTGCCTTTTTCTGTTCGTAAGTGGAAGCTCCGGTTGCAGGTAGAAGCAAAATTTCGCGGCCGGAACTATTTGTAAGTCAAAATGGTCGTAAGTACGGTAGGGGCGTTTGTAAGTCGAGGCACCACTGAAGTTCTAAATTCAAGTTTGGGGTGTATGCGGATATGACAGGAGCTGTTATTCCCCTAGAGTAGTGGTTCCCAAACTTGGATCCTCAGATATTCTTGGACTAGAACTCTTAGAAGCCTTCACCATTAGTTGTGGTGGTCAGGATTTCTGGGACCTGTAATTCAAGGACATATGGTGACCCAAGGTTGGGAACCACAGCCCTAGAGAATGTTATAGGCCCTTATTATTTCAGTTTGCAAACTGAATTCAGTATCTTTTCACAAAAGGAGGACAGGAAGGGTAATTCTATGTACTGACATTATGTATTTGTAATTTATTTTAAGGCACACCTGGAGCTATTTTGTTTGAGCTGTGGATATTTCGCCTTGGGTATTAAAGATGAGTAGAACATTGAACCTGCTGATTTTCCTTTCAAAGATACATTTCTGTTTGCTGTCTCCTAACAGAGCACAACCAAGGAATAAAATTGAGAGATACCCTAGAAAGTGAGCAAACAAGAGTGTGCGAGCAGGAGAGCTAACAGGAGTTTTACGGGAGAGAGATACTAAGGAAACATAGTAAAGAAAACTTACCACAACTATATAACGAGGTCTGTATTGTATCGTTCCAAACAAACCCAATATGACAACTATTATGTGCAGGAAATTACCAAGGATAGGTGCCCACTGGAATCCAAGGAAGTCAAAGATCTGTCTCTCCACTGCAGCTAACTGAAAGGAAACAAAACAGAAAATAAAAATGTCTATATTTTGATTTCCATGTTATATATATATATAGAAAATATATATATAGGTTCATTTCAAGCAAGTTTTAAACTGTGGGGAAAGCTTGAAACTCTTTTTCATTAATTTTACTTACATTCAACTAGTAACAAATCTACAAGGCTATGCTATCATTTCTGGCACTTGTGAACACTTAAGAGAAATAGCACAAAAGTACCAGCCTTTTTTGTAGAGCACAAGAAATCCACTTATTTAGCCCTGTTCTGTCATTGCCAAAGGATGAGATGACTCAAGAGTACACCAGCCCCACTCCCTTCATCATCACTTTATCATCACATGGGGAAAATAAATGAAGAGGAAAAGATTGCTCCATCTGTGTAAACTCCACACATTTGACATTCAGGTCTTGTCTTTTCCATTAAGACGGGAATGGGCACAGTATGGGCCACTAGATGTTCTTGGACTGTAGCTCCCAGGATTCCTTGTCATTGGCTATTGCTGGTTAAGGTTGATGGAAGTTGCAGTACAGCAACGTCTAGAGAGCTACTTTGTCTAGCAGCACAATGGAAGGTCTTAAACAACACAACCCCCTTTATGTTACAGTGTTTAGTGATACAACACAGCCATTGGTTTCACTGTGTGAGCTACAAATAGAAGTGTAATCAAATTCTCATACTTCATGAGGCTGAGCTTTTTCTATGTACATATCCCATTTTGTTGTGTCCACTATAGTGTGTATGACATAACCAAAGGGGTAAAGAAGTTTACTGGTTTAATCCTGTTATCAAAATTAACCAAGAGTCTTGTGGCACTTTAACGAATAACAAATTCCATTTGGTATAAACTCTCATGGACCGCAGACAACTTCAAGAGATGTCACTGTAGCCCACAGAAGCTTAAGCTGAATAATACTTGTTAGTCTTAATGTTATCACAAGACTCTTTGCTGTTTCTATTGCAACAGATTAACAGATCTACCCTCTCCCTGCCAAATGGCACTATTCCATTCTTTCACTTAAGTGCTACTGAGTAAGTATGTTAATAGTAAATATAGTACTGTAAGCAATTCACAGAACCTCATGTTACAGATTGATGTTCAATTGTCGTATACAAGAATAGCTAGAAAAACATCTCTGTGCTGGTTAAAATGGCAACAATAATAATTTGTGTTGGTAGAATGCTGCTGATGGGAAATGTAAATATGAACGTGTGCCAAATGGTAATACGTTTACTTGTCCTAAATATCACTGAGTGCTCTGAGATCTTGGCCGTTTAAAAAACTGAACAAGAGTAGTAACGTAGCCACCACATTCCAAAAGTCAAGCAAGAGGGGAACCTCACTTCCAAACCTGAAGTGTTTCTCACATGTCAGCCAACTCATACCTGGAATTCAGGCTTGCAGGTTTAAATGTCACTTTAGATGGCTAACATGCATATAGACTTCATGTTAGCCAACACTTTGAATGGCCTACACATCTCAAGCTTTTATTATAGACATTTTAGAAGGGAGTCTTATTTTCACATTGGAATACTCCTATGCCTACTTAAAAGCTAGAGTTGATACATTTCTTCTGCCTCCTCACACTACTTGTTTTCCCTTTACTAAATTAACGACTTATATATGCAGCCATAATGAGTAAGCAAACATATGCAAATGTTTTTGGCCTAATTTATGATTCTTACGGAGTTTCTGGAAATCAAAATACATATATACAGAGAGAGAGTGTGTGTGTGTGTACAGACAACCCTTTAAATGTCTAGAGATGTCAACCAGCATTCAGGCAAGTAGGCTATTAATGGAAGAAATGGGCTATGAAAACAAATCTGTTGTTTTCACAAGGGAACATTTCATAAATTGTGTTTCTTCTAATATTCCAAATGAACTAATACACTTTAAATTAATCACACACTTTTTCTGCAACATCTATTAATTCATGATCTTAAAAGGATCTCTAAATATCTAGTGCTTGCTGTGCAACATAATTATATTTCATCATACCATTGTTATTAAGAGACTGCTTTCAGGGATGCCTCTCTTTTTTGTCAGCACTGTAACAAACTCCTAATACATCAGAGAAACATAAAGCAGGCAGAAAGTATTGTTATATTCTTAGACTGACATTGTTGTTCAGTAACGTGCTGAATGGCCATTTAAAACAGGTGTCAATAAGCACAAAAGTAAATTTTACGCTGTTCTTGTTTCATCCCAGAGTTAGGCATAATATAAAATAAAAATGGATTATAACCTTTGGGTTGGGGAATGTCTGGCTTTGGACAAATCTTTATACATGCATTTTCAGGTCTCATGAAAGGCTATGAATGGATTCCATTTAAAAAACAAATTCCATTTATCCATCCTCTCATCAATTTGCCTGTGCCATGTGCAAATAGGTTTTAGGTGGTACTTCGGTCTGATCATAAATGGTATTTTCATCACAAACATGAAAAGGCTGATTTGGCTCTCTTGTAATAGGCGAAATGTCCTGTATGCTGCTTCCCATTTGTGATCCTAAAGCACTCTCTGATACCACACTGATAATTTTTCATGAAAACAAGGAGAATAGTGCCTTTTACAACTCCGCGAGTCTCCTTTCAAACAAGATATGCAGGCTATGCACCTTGTTTTACAAAAAAGGGACTTTTTGAAAATTGGGAGGGGGAAGATTGGGTTACTTCTGCTGCTAGGGATAGGTGAGGTCCATGCCATGTCCCACAGGTTTGTATCTTATAGCTGTAGTTGCCTATGCTCCTCTACTGTAAACTGAGTAAGAACCCCCACTCTCTCACATTTTCGTGCATCAGACTACTGTATTGACAGAAAAGGAGTAACAATACAAAAGACAGCAGCACACACACACACACACACACACACACGGTCAGGCCATCTGTAAGGGTTTGCCCTAGTTTGGCATGGCTTTTGGGATACAGTAATTGGGAATTCTTACACCAGCAAGCAAGTTAAACTTCCAGCAAGAAATTTCCCTAGGCATCTCACTAGTGGAGAGGAGAGGCACAGAATCCAGAAGTGGGTATAAGAAAAACAGAGCAACTAAATGGGTTGGCAGAATTATACAGAAAATGGTCCCGAATCTTTTGGTTCTGGTGTTGCCTATTTTTAGCTCTGTCTGTCATGTGGCCCCAGTCAGATTATCTCGGGGGGGGGGNNTCATTTCTGCCATGGAATGAAACAAACAACCAAACTACCCTGTGCAAGTCTATCCTCGTTACAACACCTAACATCTCTTTACAGCTAATTTATTTTAAAAGAAATTGACCATGTCAGTTAAATGTTGGTAATGCAATATACTTATTTAAGTGTATTGCATTACCAACATTGCTTCTTTAAGACATCCTTCATTAAGACATATGATATTGCATTTCCAATGGTGGCCCATTTTGAGTGAATTTTATTTGTATTAGAAAAATTATTTATATTTGTAGACAAGTATGTATTTTAAAAGTGTGTTTTTGAAATCTGGCATTGTTACCATCAGAAAAACATAAAAGATAAGTATTCTCGAAGGATTTCATGGCCAGAATCCGATGGTTGTTGTAGGTTTTTCAGACTGTTTGGCCAAACAGCCCCAAAAACCTGCAACAGCCATTAAAAGATAAGCTTACATTATCCTTCACTGGGTAGTTGGAAGATTTCCTGACTTTAGCTACCTATGGAGATCTCTTCTGTCAATGCCAGCTCCACACATAATTGCTCCTTTTTGGGACATAAAGTTAGATTACATAAATGAGTAATCCATGATTAAATTGTGGACAGTTTGTATTTCCTTCTTTTCTTTTTTATCTTATTTCCTCCCCCGTCCCCTCATTTTGGTTTGAAATAAACAAACCAAATTAATCTAAACTAAAGTGAAATAAAACCCTCTGCATCACATTTATGTATTCTTAGGAGGTCTGTTTTCAACCATGTTTTTTAAAAAAATAAAATAAAATTCTAAGTGTGTGTTTTACTTGGATCTTATCACCTTTAGTAATTATAATACTGGCTATGCAAGTATTGTGGATTCAATAAATAAATGTCAATAAGGCAAAGAGGTAAATGTTCATAGAATTGATTGTTGTGGGTTTTTCGGGCTCTTTGGCCGTGTTCTGAAGGTAGTTTTTCCTGATGTTTCACCAGTCTCTGTGGCCAGCATCTTCAGAGGACAGGAGGAGTGTCAGAATATAAAATTTACAGGCCTGAGCAGAACAAATGACCTAATGAGCAGCCATGATGTTCAGGTGTGTCAAAATGCTGAGTCACTGTGACTCAGGAGGGCTGGCTCAAAGATGATGCAACATGTGTGCTGATTGGACACAGCCAGAGGCATAAGTGTATATATGTGGACAGTGCAAAGAAGATGTATTCCTGCTCTTCTGATGAATTCATGGTGTCATGCTGTCGCTCTATATATCTGTAAATATCCTGTAAATATATGTCTGGTGGTGGAAGAAGCTGATCGTGTCTGTGTGAGTCATTTTGCCACAAGGACCTTGAAGTTACTCTGCTGGAACTTTTCCACGTGTTCACGCACTAACAAGTAGGAACTCTGTCCATGCTCTGGACAGAGCATGAACAGAGTTCCTACTCCAGTCCTCTGAAGATGCCGGCCACAGAGACTGGTGAAACATCAGGAAGAACAACCTTCAGAACACGGCCAAAGAGCCTGAAAAACCCACAACAACCATTAGATCCCGGTCATGAAAGCCTTCGCGAATACGTTCATAGAATTCTTGAAGTAACTACGCAGTATGTTCTGTTCTGCAGTCTGTCTCTGTCAGGGCAGAAGGGATGCCTCTGCGAAAAAAGGAATAGGTCTGAACAGAATAACCATAAGTATATCACAAATCTCTATTGTAATGTTGTGAGAATAGTGAGAGATAAGTAAAGTGTGAAATTACTAAAAATAGCAGCAGCAAAACCAAACTGTACAGTCTATACATCTTCTGTCAGAGCAAGTAGCCATAGGACTGTCAATTCATCAATCTACAATG